TCGAGCAGCTCGCGGCTCACGCGGTTGTCACCTTTTGCGAGGATTTCGGCCTGGTCAAACTTGAAAATATGGTCGGATCCCGTCGAGTGAGCTGCAACCTGGGAGTTGGCGTCTTTCTTCCTCACCGCCATTGTCACCTAATTATCAAGCCAACGTCCAACATGGATGATTAAATGGAGGCACTTAGTGATTTGGAAGCTAACTGCCCAGCCATCAGCGCATCCATTACGAACCCCAGCGACGATGATGAGAGGTGCTAATTGTAGTTCGCACGCGGTCGCGTGGCCGCTACGGACTTGACATTCTGCGTAATCGGTGCATGCATCGCCCAATTCTGCGGTTATCTCTGATGACGTGTTCAAGCCAGAATGTGAAACGTCAGCCAAATAAACTTATTGGTCCGGTGATCGCAACTTCTACTTCAGAGTTTGGTGCGTTGCAGCTAGTTTTATGTTGTACGCATGCAATGAGTATTTCACTGTTATGCGAATTTATTCTGCACCAATGGGTCCTAATTTTGGGCTCCATTATTGCATGAAATAAAAGAAAACATAATTAAGAAGAACCAACCAGTAACCCAAACCGACGGGGTGAAAACACCCCGATGAGTAGTATTCTTACATAAAAACAAATAGTTCGAATGTATAGGCAAACAAATTCGTAAGAAAGGCTAATTATTACTCACCAACAAATATTATACAGCCACATCCAACGAATATGCCCATTGTGTTCTCCTCCAAGGTGACGACAGAGACAATCACACCACCGATTATACTTCCAGGCGTCTAAAGTGGGGTTTAATTTTGGGCGTTTTAAATAAGGAAAAACATACTAACACCCTCGAAAAGACATGTGCACAAACATTTAGGTGGACGGTTACTTTCAAAAAGCTCACTCCTATAAAACGTCCTCATGCGAACGCAATTTGAAGCATTACGCAGCACAGAAAGCTCGTTAAGCCGCATTTAGTTACTTGATGGTCATGGCAAATCGTCAGTAGCTTGAGGAGCTTTGCATTTGACATGTATCCCCTAATATGACATTAGCTTTCATCCACAGGCCTGCTAAAAGCGATTGACTATATAGGCATGGCGAGATACGCTAACTGTAGCTTAGTGGTCGTTTTCATTTTTTGTACAAAATGATAGGAAACTCAATACCAGTTTATTAAGCGAATGATATGCTATGACGTTGAGCTCCCTATTGCTAACTAGATGGCTAAGAAAAAAATAATGAATGCAAAAGAAAAATAGAAACAATACGTCAATTATAGGCCTGCAGGCAAAGATCAAGCACCTGTTGGTTTGACGAATAAGGCGTTGCTTTCACCGGAATCGTAATTTTATTCACCTGAGCTTTCGGGCCCTTGCGGAAGGTAACGACTTCTTCGTCTAGACAAATACCTGGGATGCGAACCTTTGCTTCTACCTTTTGGATAGTCAAAATAGTAATAAAATGTGGCTACTTGCTTATTATAGGTAGCTTAATAAGAATATGAGATATTATGTATCTTTTGTTCGCATTTTGAACTAATGTTCACTTCTGCCACACTCATAAGGTACTTGGCGGTCATTCACCACTTGTGAAAAAAGGGAGGTAATAGCAGCTGACAGCGGTCGGCATAAACAATTGAATTAGCAAATACATGCATCTGCCCACATTATCAACACCGTGATTCATGACAAAACACGTACGAAAGCTGCGAAAACGATGCCATAAATGGTAGCAAAGTATTTGTGTCCGAAAGCGCTTGAGATGCCGAATGGTAGTAGAACGAAATTGCCGCCGATGCAGATAAACATCAGGACCGTCCAGATGGCATAGAGGTAGGGACCAGCTGCTGGCGCCCTGGATACAAACGGGAAGGTGATGAGAACGGCGGAATAGAAGAGGTTGTTGACGAACATTGGAAGCTAAAATGAGAGTGGAGAGAAGATTGCAAGGGATGGTAGGGTGGTTTTAACCCTTAGATAGCATGATGCTGTTTAAAGACGTGGAATTAAACTCGGCCAATGATTCCTCATCCAGTTGCAACTTCTGCTTGCTGGTATTTGTACCGGGAAAGTCAGGATGTCAGGAGGCAGACAGTAAATGCTCATATTTTTGCATTTGTTTGCAATGTTTACTAATCCGGTCTGTGTTTCTTTCTTACTTCATTCTCCCCTTGTCTTCTTACTTTCCTCTTCCTTTGCATAACCTGCTCTAGAATGCTTATCTCCGAGTTGTTTTCCTTTGCAGAACTGCGCCCACCGCACCGCCGGCGACCGATCAGCTAAGCGATGGTCTGTTTCTGGCGGCAGGGGGAGGGAAAGCCAGGTCGACCCTCAGCACATTTTTCTCCTCACGAAAAACAATCTGATGCACTTGAGGCTATCACGATGCGCTGAAAGGCGTGGCTTGGCGGGTTTCCAACGGACGGGATAACTAGGACATCGCTGTCGGACCAGCGTGTGCGAAGTGCCATACTGCACGTTGAGATTCAGGTTCAATGACTCTTTCTTAACGTGGCCCTTAAGGTGCTTCTCGTCGGGAGCCTACCTAGCGAGGTGTGCTGTTGGTACGCAGGTTGAGTGTTGGACATGCCAGCTGTCTGCGTCTCCCCCCATCCCGGCCTACAGTGTGGGAGTGGTGAAAGAGTGAGCTACATTCACCGCGAGTCTACTTTCTCTACAATTTCGTGGGGGTGTGCTTCACTGTCGTGTGTCTGTGCATTTAGGATTGGTTAAATAAAGTTAAAATAGAGCAGTTATCCACTTCTCGATGCCGTCTGCTATTCTGATCTGATAGGGGCAACATGACAGTAAACGCTAAGGCTTTCTTGTAAAGCCGCCTGAACTTAAATTTCTCCCACCCAACTGTCTTATGGAAGTAGTGGTTAAAGATTTACTGTTTGATTACTGAACAGGTA